GGAGCAGCGGTCGAACAGCAGCAGCAACAACCAAGCCTTCTTGCAAACGACCAAGAGTGTAATTAATTAATGTCGGAAAGCACACAAAACACACCGCGCCATCAAAAGCAAAAGATCAATACCGATAAAATTAAACTTGTTCGTTTAAGATGATTCTCAAACAGAAAATTACTATGCTCTCTCGCCTTTTTCTAAGGGATCGAATTTAACTTTTTTAAGGCGTTTATATCACTTCCTAAAATCAACTGTAAAATCATCAGTCCTTGTCAAAAAATTACAAAAACTGAAGGAACAATTTTCTGCATGACGTCTATGATAATTTTTTTTTTAAGAAACTGCATTATTTAGGCATCGATACAGTTACATTTCAAAATTCAGCTAGGTCTACGATTGGTTCAAATAGTTTAAGTTAGATCTACGATTGGCTAAAAGAGCAGGTCACAGTATCCATTTTTGATAAGAATCGGAAATGGAACAATTAAGTCGAACAATTAATATAAAGATAATTTTAATTCAATAGTAGAGTGACCTGTGTTATTTCGTACACTGCCGGAATTTAAAGTACTTTGGTTGATTACTTGCTCAGTAGGTTCCTCAAGCCACCCCGACTTGTCCTCATCATTTTAAAACGTAAATAAAAATGTAAGTAATTGACGGTGTATCGCCATCTACAGATATTTAGTGCTAACTATAGTATTTCAAAGGTTTTTGACAAAATCTTACAAAAGCGTGTACTACCAACTCTCAAAAGATTTAAATTGCATTTATTGAGCTTGTATTACATTATAATTTATATGGAGAAAGACGGCTGAAGGAGTTTGTATTATGGGCAGACAAATCGATAATAATAAATAGGAATGTAATGCTAAAATCAAATGCAAGATATTGGGATCCGTCAAATGGGAGGAGCTTAAAAACATGGCGCCGATTAGGGAAAATGTATCGTAGTTCCTATGGTGTACCGTGCAATTTCCAAGTTTTTAAATTACGATAAAATGATAAGTATTGACACAATATGTGACACAAAGCCTCGGAAAGGAAATTTCGTTGGGTGAGCGTGTTTTTAATGCCAATCATATCATAAAATTCGGAAATAACAAATCCGGAAGCTAGCCTTCAAATTCCGTCAAGTTTATTGCCTACTTTTTACAAACTCTGGATTTAAAAAGTGATTCACGTTATATAATTGGTGAGGTGATTCTGGGTGATTTAAGCAATATCATATCAATGACTTGCACGTGCAAAGCCGATTTAAAAGAACGTTGCAAACACATTATTGCAACTTTGTTGTATTGCAGCAGGTAGGTTCTTAATCTCAAAATGCTTATATCGTATCATTAGAATTGTGTTAAATCAATTACATAGGAATAAATAACTTCTCACTTTATAATTTTAGTATGATTTTAGTTTTAAATATTAAGGTTATGGTTGATGGTAAGTTTTTGCTGAAATATAATCATGTGCATTAAAATGACGTGAACAAATTTTTATTCCGGAATTCACTTCTTTGACACCTACATGTTTCATCCAAACTTCTATTAGTTTACTTTTTTCTCTAATTTTCCAAATATATTTTTTACATATATAAAACGGTTAGTTTTTATTGGAAAATAGTTAATGTAGGTGAAGAGTGAAGATCTATGTCTGAAGAGCTATTGCAGCTTTTCACTGAACATATTAACTTTTTATTTGATTTAACTTTAGAAAAAAATTTCGTCGACTCCATCATCAAAAAAATTTTTACTTTTTTAACGTGTTTTATTATTTTAATATACAATTTTACAATTTGCGTGCACAGTTTCTATGTAAATTTTTCCCTCATTCGAGTTATAAATTTTGCCACCAGATGGTGTATGCCCATTTGACGGATCCCAATAGGCAGAAAGAGTTTATTTAACAAACCAACACCAACGCTTTCTCTTTTAATTCCAGATTTTGTCAAGGTAGGTTTTTGGAAACAGTACTTCTACAGATATATCGGATGAGAAAATGGTAGATAATGTAACTATTATAACGATGTAGTCGAAAGCATCAATTCGTACAACAAAATATATATAAGAAAATTAATTATTGCTTGCTCGGAAAGACTTATATGTATAGGTACCCTTTTTACCCCTTTAGGATAAATTTGTCAAAATTGCTGTAAAAGTGACGTAAATACATATAATATATTCACAAAGCTTTATCTTTTTTGAAGATATATTCTGATTTTGATTTGCATTCACTAACAAATGCCGCCGGAATAATACTGCAGATGAGTTGTAATGTAAATAAGTCTTTTGATGAATCGAGTATTAAATTAACCGTTTCGTATTTCAATACTATTAAAGTCGATCAGAATGGTCATTATAATGAAATTATTTAAACTAATCTTAACATGCGTACCTCGATTATTTTCTAACAATTGCAAAGTTATCATTTCCTAACCAGCCCTATCTAATCATCCCTTTGAAAGCCATATGCGCTCGTGGTGCGGTCTAATATGATTACAGCTATACCCAAATTTCCAAGGAATGTCTAACTAACCAAAACAAAGGGTGTATTCACAGAGAGATAAATAAAATCGTACTGGATAAAGATAAAGTGGAATTGTTAATATGTGAATCAAGTGAATTTTGTAGAGTGGGAGAAAAATAATGAAATTCTAACGTGTTTTTCTCAACTCAACAACTGCTAATACTACTAAATTTTACATGTTATTACATGTTTCGCACTGTCTGTAACGTTGAACATAATTATTCATAGCAGGTCAAGCCTTTTTGTGAATGAAACTTTTATATTTGCTTTTCGTAAAAATGAAAGTTTTACAAATGATTTACATGAAACCACCCTTAAAAACCGTCATCAATTCATCAAATTCTGCGTCTATTTCCACGTATCTTTCACCTTCTAAAACGTTGAAAATAATTTTTACTTGCTCTTCGTCAATTAATATTTGTTCTTTATTGAAACCGCATTCAAAAAATGATGTTATCACTACGTTCTGTACACAGTTTTGCGTATTTTTCTCTTCTTAAAACATTGAAAATAATTCTTTAGTAAATTGAAAATTTACGAGCGCATATTTGTCTTTAAAATTGGATGACTTACGATTTAGGACTATCTAAAAACTATAAAATGTAAACAAATGGATATTTTACATTTATTTTTTAGTTGAAGCGACTTTATTTTTAATTGAAAATTAATTAAAAACGGTACGCAATTACGTCCTTCTAACAGTACCAGAATGAGTTGGTTATTATGGAGTCATCTATTGTAGAAACACTGCATCATCAGCATTTCTCTCGTGACGGAATAATTGAAATCCGTTGCAATTATTTTAATGTCTTATTGAAATAATGCAGAAAAACTTCTCAATATTCACAATTTTTCAATTCCATGAAGATGTATCGAACTGTAGTTTGAATTTTACAGAAAGTGTCATAGAATTACAGATTGTAAATACAGTCAACGTTGTATCAGTCCGTCAGTTCGTACGAGCATGTATAGATGTCACTAGATAGACGAAATTGTAAAAATATCAATGCAAAGTTTTTGGGCATTGAGAAAAATCCTATTTTATACAAGTGTGTTCAAACATGTGGACAAATTTCAATTTTAATTGCTTGGATGTCATTTGTATAGAGCATTCGTGTCATGCTAGTAAAATATGGATGATGGAGGGTACCATTTTAGGGTAACATTTTTCCCTTTCATGGTCTACTACAAAGATTAGTTTTTGAGTGAAGAGTACGTTAAATCTTGACTGCAAAGGCACACCATTGTAAATTGCTACGATCAAATGGACAAAATTGACTTAAAGTCGAGAAACTCAACTTCCTATTAAACTAGCTTTGTAATTAAGATAGAAATTGTTTTACAATGCGGAAGAGTTTTTTAACTCAAAAACCGACTATTAAAGAGTAATATACTAAGATAGAGAGGCACACCCCAACAGGCATAAGTGACAAAGTGACGCAGCTAATTGAAATCAATCACTACTTTCAATTCCGCCTGGAAGTTTCTAAAATCAGTGACATTTACTCTTGTTTTTAGAAGAACTCATAGTGTAATGCAGTAAATTGTATCTTCTAACCCTAAACAAATATGTCAATGGTTTTTGAACAGCTTGTATGGATAAATTAGCGGTAATATTATCATTGACAGTAATGTACATATATCAAATATGGTGTCCTAATCAATGAATCTAATGAAGACCAGAACCTAATGTTGTAATTGTAAGTGGTGAAGGCGATGTTTTTAACTACATGATATTCATTCTCTTTCACAATACTGCTAAATGTTTGCTACCCCAGTGCCAAATACAAACTGTAATAATATGGCTCAATGTTTAGTCAGCCCCGTTTGAAACTAGCAGTTGTTTGAGGACCACCCAGGTGGAATTAGAAATGGGGAATTATTCATAATGACTGTGATATTCAAATCAACATTTAGTATAGGTATCTTCAGAAATGATTTTCCAAATAGGATTGAGGTTTCGCTTACTTAAAAACTACCAGAATCCACAGTTTAGACATCAGAATGTTTAAATTCTAAGTATTCCATGGATGGGTTTGGATAGTTTATCTTTAAAATGATTATGATTTAGGTCGGTATGATTAAATAATATGACGGTCGACCAGAAGACCCGGAACTACTACCCATACACTTGTTTGTCTTATATGGTAATTCAACACCTTGTATATTGCACCCACCGTGTAAATTGTTAAGCCAAATTAGATTCAAGTGGACTTTCTGAAATAGCAATTTAAATATTAACTGCGTGGCATTGTTAGTATGATTGGCTGAAAATTATCATTCTCAATAAGCCGAAATGAGTTAAGCGCTTAGTTAGAAAGTTTCCCCTCTCCATTCAAACAGCTCTCGCTCTGCATGGCATGCATTTATCGGTTTCGGAATTTTCTATACTCACATTCAAACCCAATCAAACATAGAAATGCTTTGGAACAACGTACCTACCTACCTACCTACCTACTAGACTAGCCGGTTGATAAAGGAATTTGGTCGTTCGTGATTGCATTTCTAATTTTCTGACGAAAACAAAAGCATCGCACACAATAGTAAACGTTATTACCATTTTGGTATATTGTTCAGAGCACGGGCGAGTCCCAATCCACCGCACCATCGCAATGAGTCTCTCTTTCGAGTGAGTCAAATGGAGTCGTACAGCTGAAAGACAATCGACAACAGTAACAGGCTGGCCCGATGAATGTTGTTACAATACTTCGTGTTATTGATAAAAGTAAATGTGCATTCGGAAAGAAGTGAGTGGTGGCAATAGTGGACTGAGTACCTTCGGATCTCCTGCTGGACTTTACTGGCGTGCTGCAAGTGCGTTGACAGTTATGAGCCGAATTCAACGGGAATGAAATGCGAGTCGTACCGTATTAAGTCACCGGTTGAAAGAACTCGCAAGTTCGCTACGTGTAATAACAGTTTTCATGCATACCTACATATATGTATATAATAAAATGTAAATATTTACATGTCTGTTGCATGTTAATCAAATCGGCGTGTTTTGGTTAGTCTTCAAGTGACATCGTTCGCAATAGCGCGCTTGCGCCCGCATTTTAGCATTTGGTGTTTTTTTAATTTCGGAATGAAGTTTTTAAAAGACCTGCGTGTGACTCTATTTGCCGAATAATAACAACCAATAGTGTATCTACTGTGTGTGAAAGTTGTGACATTAAATAAAGAACGAAAAAATGCTGAACTGCACCGATTTGGAGTGCATTCTGCACCATCATCACTATTACGCTCAGCTACATCATCTCACCCATGGCACTCATGTGGAAGATGGAAATGGTGAGTTCACTTCCAGAATAAATATATTTTATTGGTATTTTCCGTTACCTTGGCATTTTTATTATCAAATTGAAAGTAATCACAAACCGCTCTCAAAATATACAACAGCAACAACGTCAGTCTAAACTTCTAGACAAGTGCTTGTTGACTAGTTGTACAATAGTTTGTAAAAACCGAGTAAAAGTTAAAAAAAAGTGCGATAAGTTATCATCGAAAGCTTTTGTTTATTTGTCTGTTTGATACAGTTTTTGTAGAGATCTAAAAAATCCGGCAACAATACCAGAATTGCGTTGTTCAGCCGAATTATCATTATCACCACGTTTAATGATCAACTGATTACCAAATTGAACTGTAAAGAGTAAAATAAACAACAAACTCCAATTCGTTTACTGAGCCTTGTATTCCAACTTTACGTTCACCAAAGGTGGAATGCCATGTTTTAACAGTAAGGAGTTTGGCTATCGCTTCAAGATTAAATACGATCCAAATTTTGGCAAACGTTAATTTTTTTTTAAAAAATGATACAAGTCAAATAAATAAGCCCACACTGTAAAAGGTGTTTCTAATTTGTCGGATTGTACTGACGACTGTCTGCTTCTGAGAGAATGGATAACGAAATACAATCCAAAGGTGATATCTGTCTTTCACATGAGTTTAATCCACACACACAGAAACGTATAAAACATTACATGAAGGTATTTACTATATATATATCTGTGTCGATGCCGTACCCAGTCTACTTTATTTTACCTTTGGGTACCTACCAATGTTACATTTTATTTTATATTAACCTCATATATATGAGTCTATAATGCATAACAATTTTACCTTACCTACCGGTATAAAGCAATGTAAAAGGCTTGTATAACTCTCCAATGGCCTTGTAGTGAAAAATACACATATGTATAAGTAAATAATTCATTTTTTTTTACTTTTTATTAAATTTACATTTCCACCTTTACTTATAATATTTTTCTTAATCCAAGTAGGTACTTTCGTTAATGGTTCATATTGTTAATTTTACTGTGTTCGTTTATGACAAATATTTACTTTCATGTGCGCAAGTTAAATTCATCAACCTTCGGAATCAAATCGTCAGGTTTTTTGTTCGTTTGCTTGCCTTTTCCCTGTTTTTACTGATTTATTGTTGTGAAACGTTTTCTTGATATACACGTTTTATTTATTGTCAACTTGTGTACCAATCGCAGAAAGTGCATAGGTAAATACAATAGGTATGTTTACTCGATCGTAAATATTCGAAAAAAAATTGCGTAGTGCTTCAATCCTACAGTTATTCACCTGTACTCTGCAAACTTAAACAGTATTTGTTGTAAAAGTTAGAAGCAGTAATTATACTAAACACATTAATTGACTTACCTTAAAAAAAAGTTGATCTATACAAGGATTGTTGTTGGAAGAATTACATACCTCCAACCGTATCCTTATTTTGAACGATCTGAGATCGGCGGTTCCTCAACTCCAGTGCAATAAAGTGCAATATTTCACAGACCTGCTGAGCGTGTTCTGTTGAGCGTTTAGCCATATTTGGAAATCCGCATTTTACAAATTGTCTACGACAGGTGCAAGCAGAAATCTACAAGTCGAAATGGTTTCGTTATTCAATTGTAAGTACCTATATACAAAGACAATTCGTTTATAACAGATCAACAGATAGGGGTAAAGACCGTTGAACTGTTGAATAATAAATTAATATTAGTTAGGTATTTATTAGTAACTGAAATAATGGTTAACGTTTCAAGACTAGTTAAGGTCTATTAGTGAGCGCGATGATGTGACAATATGGTGTCCAATTTGTTAACATCCCGCTGTAAATGGACGGGAAGGTTAGGACCATTAAATGAGTGTATCATGAAACCTTCTCACTTTAAAGAAGTAAATTAAGTAATTTTGATGACCTTTGGCCCAATTTTAACTAATAAGACAATTAGAGCTTAGAACGAAGCTTTTAACATGATACAAGCTGTCAATAACTGTGACTTTGACAAGGATTGACTTATAAGAAGGAGCGGATGAATTGGATGCTGCAGAACTGCCCAAAAATTAGATATTTAAGCATTTTCGTGTCCAGCTACTAAAAATTAATATTATTTCATCATCATCATAAGGAAGTCAGTCGCACCTAAGACTGGTTGGACACGCATCTCCAATTTTTCCTATCCTGAGCTAATTTTCATATTTCCCTAATTCCTGTTACTGCCTCTAATATATCTGGGACTAGCCCTTCATGTCTAAGAAGGTGTCCTACCAACCTATCTCGCCTATTTTTTATCGACTTCCAAAGAGTCCTCCGTTCTCCTATTCTTTCTAATACCTCTTCATTACTAACCTTCTCTATCCACGGTATCCTCTTCATTCGCCTGTTACACCGCATTTCAAACGCACATTTTTAAAAATCTGTCTCCAATTTCTAAATTAACCGTTATCGGACACAGAAGTAACTTCTTTTTGTTGAAGGAGATCCAACCTATTCTTTGTTTTATATCACCACTGCTCCTTCCATGCTGAGTTATCTGAATTCTTAGATATCGAAAGTCACCCATTTCTTCTTATATTTATGCAATTGAACAGGGCCTCACTAGGTAGATTCTCTTCGGTTTTTATCTGTTTTGTACCAAATGCGAATATTTCTATCAGAAAGAGGAAGTTTTCTGTGCGATTTATAAACTTGTAATGGGTTGATCAAATTTAAAAATCACAAAATTTCTAAAAAAAAATACTTATTAACTAATAATGACCATGTTTTGCTATTTTGGTAAATGAAAATCTGGTCTAATCTTAAAAGCAACTTTATCATTGTACCATGCTTGGTTAATTTAAACAATTAAAACGAGCTGTTTTATTGGTACACCCTTTATCTGGTCCACCTTCGGTGAAAAGTGATTGTCGCAGGATATTAAATTTTTATTTGTTTGAGAGTACGTTCCAAGATGTTTCAGTAAAAAGCGTAATCTTCGTGGACACGTGAGGTAGAACTTGTTCTAAAAGGTCAGCATCTCTCTAACTGAGGAAAAAATCGTGAAATAATGTTCCATTAATACCGAAGTTTAACGCTTGTATGCAAAGGAAAAATTTCCTTTATAAACACAGGTGTTTTTAATATTGCATAGTACAACTTCAGCATGTTGAAAGCAATTTAAAACTAAATGGGCATTGTTTATTAAAGTGTAATACTTATATAACAAAACTATTCTCTAACCTTAACACCATTTGATTTTATTAGATATTCTAAAATTGGATTTTATTGTAGATCCTTTTTTTATGCTTCAGGCAAATTAGGAGAATCAATTTAAAAAATTCACAAACGTTGTGAGCATATGATTTGAGTTATACACTCTTAGTAGTGCTTCTTAATGCATTTCTCTAGTGTTATTATATAAATCTATAATTGTTTAGTCCTTCAAATAATGTTGCAATGTAGACATATAAGAAAGAGCCTCACAAAATTATATAATTTAGGTTTAGTGAACTTTATTGTAATTTGGTTGCAGGTTCCGATAACATAATTAAATTTTGTTGATAATGTAATTAATAGGTATGAGATATCATCAAGAAACCGTCTCGTCTATGACGTTTCTAGAAGTGTTTCATGTCACGATTACATTAAAAATGGGTTCTTAATTGCTGTGTTTTTTGTTTATATTGCGTCGTCACTTATCTCTTAATTAATTCTCTTATTCCAACGATTGGAATGATTTTTTTTTTTTAAATTGAAGGTAACACATTTTTCAGAAAAAGTTCATTGGAATATCAACTGTAGTGTTTTTATTTAATTGAATTGATTCGTAAGTTCGATATACAAGTACCTATTATGTGCCAATCTTTCTATCAATTTTATAAAGGATTCTACACATACGAGGGTGGATTGATAAGTTTCCGGCCTGACCAAGAAAAACAAGGTTTTTAAAAAATTTTTTTTTTTATTTCTCAACATAATCTCCTCCAAGGCTGATACATTTCTCATAGCGGTGTTCCAGTCTATTAATGCCATCTCTATAGACTGATTCGTCAAGCTCCTCAAAATAACCATTTACAGCTTCGATTACTTCTTCATTGTCCGCAAATCTCTTACCGCCAAGCCATTTTTTGAGATTAGGGAACAGAAAATAGTCACTCGGGGCTAGGTCTGGAGAGTAAGGAGGGTGCGGCATCAATTCAAACTTTAGATCGTTGATTTTAGCCGTCGCAACGATTGACGTGTGCGCTGGTGCGTTATCGTGATGAAACAAGATTTTTTTCTTCGCCAGATGAGGTCGTTTAATTTTCACCTCGTGGCTCAAACGTTGCAATAAGTCTGCGTAGTATTGACCAGTGATAGTATTACCCTTTGCAAGGTAATCAATGTATATAATACCTCTTGCATCCCAAAAAACAGTAGCCATAACCTTGTTCGCCGAAAAAATTGTTTTTGCCTTCTTTGGAGTTGGTTCCCCTGGTCCAATCCACTGTTTAGACTGTTCTTTGGTTTCAGGAGTGTAGTGGTGGACCCACGTTTCGTCAACGGTTACGAATCGACGCAAAAATTCGCTTGGATTACGCTTATACAATGACAAATTTGCGGTAGAAATGTTTTTTCGAATCAATTTTTGGTCGACTGTTAGCAAACGCGGCACCCATCTTGCACAGAGCTTTTCCATATGCAAATGTTGGTGCAAAATATGTTGCACACGTTCATATGACATCTTACAGGTCTCAGCTATCTCACGCACTTTCAATCTGCGGTCTCCCAGCACTATTTGATGAATTTTTTCGATCATATCTGGAGTTGTGACCTCAACGGGGCGTCCTGAGCGAGGCCCATCAGAGGTGCTCACACGACCCTTTTTAAACTCGGAAACCCACTGCTTAACGGTTGAATATGACGGGGAGGATGTCCCCAGTGTTGAGTCCATCTCTTTTTTAATTTCCTTCGGCGTTAACCCCTTCAAATAAAAGTATTTGATGACAGCACGATTTTCCTGCTTTTCCATTTTTACGAAAAC